AGGTGCAAATTGTTATTCTTTTAACATGTGCTTCATCGTACAACATGTCAATTGACTTCAACCAGTCTTTTATGGAGTATATGTCCAGTCTCTCTCCCAGAGTGAGTTCTTCAGTCATACATTTCCACATTCAAGAAAAGGGTGTGTCCCTTGCTGTCCACCCACCTACCATCTCTAGTTGCTGCTGACCTGCCAGAGTAAACTCTCTGTATCTGGCTAAGGTCCTTGAAGTATTTCTCTGCACTGCTTGCAGGGCATTAGCTTAGAAAATGGATGGTAGCTTAAGACAAATGTAGCTTAGGGCCAGGCCTCTCTTCACTGTGCACTGTGATCTGCTACCAAAGAAAGCATGGGAGCCAATGACAATTTACAGAGCATCTTCTAGTTGATACCAGTCCAGGTGAAGAAGGCTGCAGTTCTTATCCACCCATCCCAATAAAGCCATGCTGCCTCTTAGTTAATATTATCCATCCAACTTGAAAAGGATTGTCGTGGCCATCCATAAGCCATAGCCCAAGCACAACCATGGCATCTTGTTTATCTGGCATCTACAAGTTGGCCATGAACATACATCTACCAAATGAACTGTAGAAAGTGAAGGGAAACATGCCAAATTCAGGATGCAGGTGGGAGAAGCAGTTTGAGGTGCTCTTCTTCTTAGACAGGAATGTGAGAAGGCATCATCTTGGCCAGATAGAAAGCTATCCAAATGAGGCCAGGTTCTTTGAAACTTCTAGCCATGGAAGTCTTATTTGCATAAATAAAATTCTGTAAGTAGCTGAGCTACAGCCTTATGCCCTCTGAGCTTGCTATTTTTCAGTCTAAGTGCAGGGACCAGAAAGCATTGGCCCAACTCTGGATATCTAATATGCCAGCAGTGCACAGATACATTAAAATTTTGAGATTTACTTATTGTTTATTCCACACATAGTGGAGCTTTTGTTTCATACAATGGACTGTTAGCTTAGGAAGGAAACTAAGAGGATAATTATATTTCTTGAGGAAAAAATATGGTAGTTTAAATGCCTGCCCATATTAAGTCAGCAAGCAAATTCATTTTTATGTAGACATGTAGTTGCAGTGTGGAGTTGGATGAGTAGAAGCATGCATGCACCAGATGGCAAACTGCAATGATGGAGCAGAGCTGTTAAAAATGAAAACACTGAAGATTGAAATACATTGAGACTAAGTGTTTAGAGCAACAATGAATAAGAGGACATTTCTGTTCCACTATTTACTTTGTAGCTCATAGTATAAACTCTACTTCGTTTCAGACACCCTCCCTCAGAAAATATTCTACAGAATTTGCCCATTAGACAAATTCCCTTTTTCAAGTGCATGGGCTGTTTTTGTTTGTTTTTAAGCAGTCAGCTTAAATTCAGCAAATAATGTAATTCATCTTGGTTACCAAAGTTTAGATATGGGAAATAATTTTAGCTATATTTGGTATTAGAATATTATAATGTTACCTAGTGTAGCATATTCGTGTCTGTTTTTGTTAATTGAATTTTTCACTATTGTTCTTTTCCTATATACATGTATTTTTACATTTCTGGGGATTGGTTTTCCAAATGTCGTTGCTGTCTATGATGTTACTTTTTCCTTATTAGCGGCTCCTTTTGAGATCATTTTAAATGACTCTATGTTGTATGTTTGTCTCATCTCAAATGCTTTATTTCTTTGAGTTGACTTTGTCCTAGAACAGTATCACTGCTAAAACTTTGTAAGCTATATCCAATGTGGACTCAAATTGAGTGTCCTAGAATAAAATCCTTGTCAATTTCTAGAGCTACACTGTCCAACACAGTAGGCACAGCCACAAGTGTGTATTTAAATGCACTGTAAATAAAGTTTATGTAATTAAAAACTAAGTAAAATAACAAATGTATTTTTTCAGTTGAGTAGTCATATTTCAAGTGTTCAACAGCCACATGTGCTAGTGCTTACTCTAGTAGACAGCGCACACATAGAAGATGACCATCACTGCAGAAAGTTCTATTGGACAGCTTTTGTGCAGATAAGGTCTTTGGATTCTTTTTTGGGACCTTTGAGAGCTGGGTCATCAGAAACCCCAATGTTTGGAGGTACATGAATCTCCTCCTATGGTTCAGCAAGTATCTAGTTAAAGTTTTCATGATGTTTTAGGGCGTGTCTACACAATAACAAAAGAGCTAAAGCAATTAAAAAGTATTTTCAACTAGTGGTGAGAAAAAGGCTCTATTTTATTTTATTTTATTTTTCTGAATTGTTTACCTTGGCTCTATGTAGACACTAGAACAACAACAACAACAACAACAACAACAAACCCCAATGAAACTTTTTCAGGGGAAGAGATACCAAATGAATTCCAAATGGAATCATTGGAATACAATTTTTGAATTAATCGGATGAGGCCTCTACCTGGGCAGCCTTCTTTGAGCTCAGATTACTCTTATCATTGTAGACAACACAAGCAGTAATACATTTTACCGTATGTTTAAAGAATCTCCCACCAAGCATCATTATATTCTGCATATACAAACTATATTACCAAATAAGGAAACCAAAAGAGTAATTTCTGCATTAGAATTTTGACATGCCATTCATATTCTAAGAAAGAGAGGAGCAGAGAGGAACAAGCGTGGGTTGAAAAGTCAGACCTGGGTTTTAGTCCAACGTCTGCTGTTAACTACATGTGTGGGTTTGGTAATGTCACTTAGTCTTGTGAAGCCTGTTTCTTCAATAAAATGAGAATAACAATTTCTATTCTATAGATGTACTGTGAGGAGTAAGTGAGATCTTCCACACAAAGCATTCTGCATAATGTCTATTTCAAAGAGTACCTTAGGCTAGCATTTAGCATTTTAACAACAATGTCATACCCCAAAAAGTCTCAACAAGGATTGCACCTCATAATTAAATAGCAACGGTAGTAATGTTTTTTGAAAGTTAATAATTCTGAAATAGCATAGTATTGAATTGTCTAAATTCAAAACTTCTAGTTTGGTCTTTTTTTCCCCAGTACATATAGGCTTCCAATTATGTTTTCTGCTTATTGACTTTAAACAATATCTAGTTAAATTTTGTGTGTGCTTGTGTACAAAAATAAAGCTGTTATTGGAATATTTGTAAGATAAGGGTTTCGTGAAATGCAAATTTGACCAGACAACCTATAATAAAAAGCCACTAATTATAAATAGACAGGTATATTTATTAACACAGGCATAGGTATAATACATACACATATGTTCATGTAATCTCTTCTTTTGAGGAATTCGTTTTGTCTACCCCATGGCGTTTAATCTACATTTAATTGCACCTTTATATCTACTATATCTTAATAAATTACACTGAAATTTATTTCTATGCAAAGCTTTTTGCCTCTTTAGAAATGGAAGGACATTGACATTTAGTTGATATAATATTTTCTAGAAATAATATTTTATGATACACTTATGACATAATTCTTATCTCTTTTATACATAATTATGTTGAGTTTGAGAAAAGTTCAGTGACCCTTAAAGCCACACAGCTGGTAAATAAAGTGGTTTAGATTTGAACCCAGGTATGTCTCAACCCAAAGCCTCTTCCTGCATCACAATGAATGCTACAGCAATTCACCGTCCACTTGCCCTCCTCTCAATGGACCACTTTCTCTGGAGACACAACAGAGCCTGTCATTCATTCTGTTCCTCCCTTCTCTCAGTACATTCCTTTAGCCTTGTCCTAGGATCTCTTCTGTCAAAAAGTCAAAGTGGAGCCCACAATGTCGTTAATTAACTTTATTACTTTGTCTACATATTTTCAAAGTATTTCACAGCATTCACTCAACTACTCATAAATAGAGATGGGCCAAAATCATAGATCTTTGTGTAGTATTTGTCAGGATCAAACCCAGTTGGCTTCTTGGTTTTTAAAGATCTCTCTCTTATTTGCATAGCAACAAAGATCTCCTCAAGAGTATTTAAAATTGAGACTTCCTTCTGTTTGGCATTAAGCCTTTGACAACATGATTAACTTATAACTGAAATTTAATATGTCATGAATGACTTAATGAATAACCTGAAATCCCTTCTGCTTTAAAAACAAGAATTATCACAAATATTTGAATCTGTATCATTCTACATGCAACTAGCCAAAATATTTCTGGAAAACAAGTCTTAGAACTAGTATTTGAAATCAAAAATTTATTCTTATCACCATATTGTTAATAAAGTTAGCAATTGGGAATCCTAAGCATTTAACCTTTGAGCTTGTCTGGTCTTGTGTTATTTACAAAGCGACAGCTATGTATCCATTTACCTGGGCACATTTGCAGGCATGACTAAAGGCTGCTAGGGTTTTGCAGATGTGCCATATAATAGCATCTTAAATTCAATGTTTTTTCCTTAATTTCTTCCCTAAGGTTTGTCTTGCACAGAATAAAACTCTCCTTCAGTGATGTGGTAGATGTTTCTTCCACAGGACGATGCCATTATCATGGTAGTGTCTGGCCCTGTGTACCTGGATTAAAGTTTGACAACTTTTTCCAATGTTTTATATGTTTGTTTCTAGAAGACCTATTTAGTAAAAAAAATACCTTTCTCAACATGCATGTGCTAGGGGAAAAAAGATATGCTTCTAAAATTCTTATTTATTCCAATTTTATTTCTATGGATACAGTTAATTAAGTATGGAAGTTTCCCTAACAGAAAGTTGTTTCCTTAGAGGAAGGGTGCAAGAATGAGCAATCTGATAGGTACATTTATGTCAGTTGGAGGATTCAGTACCAGAGGAAAAGCAGCAAGGGAAGGGTTAGGCTTCACACTTCTGAAGCAGAGCCTCCAAAAGCTTCTTTCCAAGAAGGAACAAAAAGAAAAGGGATGAGCCAAACTCAAAGAGCAAAAGTTAGCGTTCACCAAGGCAAACCACTCCATAAGACAAGAATGGTCACAGTATTTCTCAAGAGGCAAACACACCCCACATCTTCTAGAACTTCCTGATGCAGGATGGGAAGATGAAAGAAAAGGAGAGTTACTTACTGTTTGGGTCTACGTTTTCACAGAGCTCTGTCTTTGCCTCACCGTTGGGTCTGTCACTGGGTTTGTGTGACAGCCTCGAAGACATGGTGGCTGCTGTGACTACCGCCTTGAAGCTTCGCTTCCGTTTCTGGACATTGAGTTCAGGGTGAAAAATGATGATGTACACTTTCGGCATGTATAGCATCCCCAGCGCCACTGATGCACTTAGGTTCATGGAGATTGTAAGTGTGGTAGTTTGTATGTAGAGCTAGGAGACACAACACACAAGGCACTATTACAAATAAAATGACTGCAGAGGGAGTCTGAACACTTAAAATGATGTCAAGAACGACTATGGCTAGGAAATAAAGCAATCTTCAGGGCATTTTGATAAAGGAAGACACAATGACTCTGCACAGTTATTGAAGTGTATATGCATATATTAATTGATTGAATGCCAGTAGCTGAATCCATGCACATTCTTGCCCTGGAGAAATCTTCTATATTAAATTTCAGAGTAGGCCTTTAATCATATTTGAAGGACTTTTAATCAGAGTGGCAGCTAAATATGAAGACATGAAGACCATAGAAATCTGTAATCTTGATTAAGGTGTAGTTAGCTTTTATCCTTCATACATATAAAAGAGGGTTCACACTCCATGATTTCTTCCTACATTGAGATTCTGGGGTCTTTTGAGAAGTCTTTATCTTATGTCTTTTTTGTGTTGTTCTTTAGAAAAGTATACCTTTACCATATCTGCTGAGTAGTGAGTTGAGGTTCTCCAAAAGCTCAGACTGTCTTGCTTAATTCTGTCTTACAAAACACAAATGCCAAGTGAACAAATCTAGTAATCTAGTGATGTTGTCTTGTCCACTCTTTATATTGTCAAATTACTAATGGGATGCAAAATTATATTCTGGAGTTGGGTGATTTGTAGTTTGGATGGTGCCCCTATTTCTATCCTTGTCTCCTTTCATTTCCTCAAGAAATCAGTAGATCAACTAATTGCTTGCTTTCCAATGTGTCAGATCATAGCCTTGGCTATAAATATGAAAAAGTGATGGTAGAGGATGTAGGGAGGTGTATGATTCTTAAGAGTAAAGCTACAGACAACTTGCCTTGGTCTAGTTATCTACAACATGCCCTACTGTGATCCAGACCCCCCACTGCCCCCACTCCCAATGTGTTCAGGAATATTTGTGTTTTGCATGACTTCTAAAGGCTATTTAAATGGAACAACCAGCAACCATTGCCTTTCTGTCCATGGAAAGCCTAGTTCCTTGACAACATATTCAACTATCGTATTCCACAACTATGCCTTCTCGTTGATCTGATGATAAAAACCCAATTCTTAAGGGAGTTCACAAGGGCCCTCATGGTTTGTGCTTGCCTGCTTTTTGAGACTAATTGTCCACCATTTCCCACCTCCCTGACTCCCAGTCCCCTGCTTTGCCTTCCCAGGGCTCCATTCATTTGTGCTGTCCTTTAGCTCGTGAATAAACTGTACTCATTCAATCACAGAACTTTGCTGCATGCCTCTTTGCTTTACTTTTGTTTTCCTACATGTGGAATGATCCTCCTTTTCTTCTTAGCACCCATCCCAGGCTGCCCTCACTCACAGCCTCAAGTCTAGGCCAGCTTCTTTACTGACACACTCTCAAAGGACTTCTTTAGATCATTTGTCTCAGTTGTAATTATGAACTCAGAACCTTGATCATTTTTTTGTCCCTTGTTTCTGCTAGGCCTTAAGTTCCATGAAGGCAAGATCTGTCTCTCTGGGACACTATTATGTCTGTGAAGAAGGCCCTTGATAAACATACAGTGGATAGGCTCATGTGTTTGTCTAACTGACACCTTTTGCCCAGCTATAACTCGGTGGTTAAATAGCCTATCTCTAAATATCCAAAAACTTCCATCAGACCTTTTGGCTGCCTGGATCCTTCTGATCTTAATTGTTCAAACTGAGGCTCCAGTGAAATCAAAGATAACTTTGCCACCTTGTCTGGAAGGAATGCAGTTTTCCAGCTAATGTTAATTTGAATATGTGTGTCTCTAAATAGTTAAAAGGAGCTGCCAACTGCTGAGTATAATACATAATGAATGTAAAATAGAAAGAACATTGAATAAACAATTCTTCAAATTGTAAATTAGTTCATATTTTAAATTTCATATTTCCATACTAGCATACCTTTAGACTTTTAATGTCATTCCACCCTGCCAGCCTACACTGTTCAAGAAAGGCTTAACATGGTCACAGGGCTTTATAGACATAGAAAATTTTTTCACCATTATCAGTGTACTTATGGGAGCTTTGCAAACTATGGCTTAGTTCAAAAAGGAAAGAGATGTCAACAAAATTATGGGATCTTAGGTTTTGTTTGCGTTTCTCTGCTCGTTAGTGAATTTTTGCAGTTGATGAGATTATTCAGGGTTCTTATTTCATTATTTATCTATAAATTATACAGGCATATATGCTTATGTATGTTTGTATGTGTCTATACATATGTTTTCTTTTTTCAACTTTTAGATTTGGGGGAACATGTGCAGGTTTATTACATGCGTATATTGTGTGATGCTGAGGTTTGGCCCAGTATTTACTTTTTCAGCCCTAACCCCCTCTCCCATTAGCCCCCATTGTCCACTGTCTTCTTTATGTCCATGAGTACCCAATATTTAGCTCATCCTTATAAGTAAGAACATGAGGTTTTTGATTTTCTGTTTGTGTTAACTGGCCTAGGAAAACGGCCTACTACAACTCAACATGGTTTTGTTTTTTTATGGATGCATAGTATTTCATGGTATATATGTGCCACATTTTCTTTATCCAGTCTGCCGCTGATTCCGTGTTGTTGCTGTTGTGAATAGTGCTGTGAGTGCATGTATCTTTTGGTAGACTGATTTCTTTTCTTTTGAATATATACCCAGTAACATACATACTTTTTCTTAACAAAGACTACTAAGTAATTTAGAACTCTGCAACTATGATGTTTATTTTATGAAGTGTTTAGTTTAATCATTTTTAAACTAGAGACCATCAAGACTTTGTTTCTTGTTTAGAAAATTTTGCAGTCTCTGGTGACACTTCAGAAGTATGTTGAAAACCAAAATAAACTTCACTGATCACAGTTTTTCTACAGCCCCTCCACCCCTGAATCCTCTTTACACAGCATACTGGATAGGAGTGTAGATTCTGGATAGGAGAGCTAGTCTACCTGAGTTCAATTCTCATTTACTAGTTTTGTGACCTTGGACAAATTACTTCTCCTCAGCTTCTACATCTGCAAAATGGACATAATAATGGTACGCACCTCAGAATGTTGTCTTGCTTGATGATTAAATATGTATTTGTAAAGTGTTTAGTATAGGATCTAGCAAATAGTATGATTAATAAGTACTATGAAAGTATCTTTAAAAAAGCACAGTCACGCATCACTTAATGACAGAAATGTGTTCCAAGAAATGCATTATTAGGTAATTTGTTATTGTGCAACCATCATAGTATACTGACACAAATCTTGGTGGCATAGCCTACTAAAGTCAGGTACAAACCTTCACAGCATGTGACTACACTGAATCCTGTAGGCAGTTGTAACAATGATATTTATGTATCTAAATATAGTTAAACATAGTTAAACGTGTGGAGGGTCACGCCTGTAATCTCAGCACTTTGGGAGCCTGAGGCAGGCAGATCACCTGAGGTCAGGCTTCAAGACCAGCCTGGCCAACATGGTGAACCGCTCCCCTGCCCCACCCCAGGTGTGGTGGTGGGTGCCTGTAATCTTAGCTACTCAGGAGGCTGAGGCAGGAGAATCTCTTGAATCTGGGAGGCAGAGGTTGGAGTGAGCTGAGATCACACCACCACACTCCAGCCGGGGGAACAGAGTGAGACTCTGTTTTGAAACAAATAAAATGATTAGATATATATATAAACATAGAATAAGTACTGTAAAAATATAATCTAAGGGACCACCATTGTATGTGCAGTCCTTTGTTTATCAAAATGTCATTATGTGGCACGTGACTGTATGTAGGTATGAAGGCTGAGAAGGCTTCAGTCTACAGAGATCTTGGAGTTATTGGCCCACAGGGAGCTGCTCCCACTAAGCCTAGAAAAGAAGATAGGCCACTGGCTCTTTGACTTTTGGTGAGGTGGGAGGCTCACATTGAAGTTATGAGTTTTCATCCCTGCATCTTTTTAGTACATTATTTCAGTAAATTATAGCATATCTATATTTATTCTTATGGTTGTTCTTATTTTACCTGATGCTTATTGTATAATGCACTACCCTGTTTAAGCTTAGGTATTTCACATCACTTACTTTTATTTGTAATTTCTTTTTTTTTTTTTGAGACGGAGTTTTGCTCTTGTTACCCAGGCTGGAGTGCAATGGCGTGATCTTGGCTCACCACAACCTCCGCCTCCTGGGTTCAGGTAATTCTCCTGCCTCAGCCTCCTGAGTATCTGGGACTACAGGCATGCGCCACCATGCCCAGCTAATTTTTTGTATCTTTAGTAGAGACGGGGTTTCACCATGTTGACGAGGATGGTCTCGATATCCTGACCTCGTGATCCACCCCCCTCAGCCTCCCAAAGTGCTGGGATTACAGGCTTGAGCCACCGTGCCCGGCCTGTAATTTCTTTAGAAATGTAACAGAGTTGGTGATCATTATCAGTTCCTTTTGTCAAAGTATAGGTAAAGGGGTTCTTATGCACACTGTTTTACTGAGACCAGCATCTCCCCCAGAGCTGTCCTCCAGCTGAGCCTAATCTAGTTTTGGATGTCCGAGGATCATTCCCAAAGGAAGAAAGAGCTTTCCCAACCTGGCCAGTTATGGATGGCTCAGGCCTGTGGGAAGGACATAGACTACCTTGAAATTTCCACATCTTGATAATTAAGCCCTAATTTTATCATCAACCTAAATGAATTTTCAGAATCTAGTTTCCACTCCTGGGTCACATATGGCTTGTCCTAACTTAACCCACTATGCATAATTTAGGTCAAATAACTAAAGAACATTTAGGTAAGGAACTCAGAGCCAAGCCAGAAGTGAGTTATGTACAATGTTCTAGAATAGTTTTCTCAAAAGTCTGATGTGCAGAACCCATAGCTATAACTATTCTCTCTGTTTTTCAGTTTTCTGAAGTGTAAATGAAAATCCTAATAGTTTGTATTCCATATGGTCATTGTGAAAAAGTAACTCATTAATATATGAAAATTGTTTAGCAGAGTGCCTGGAAAATAAGTATTCATGAAAATATTTATGTT